GGCAATCTTGGTCAAACCATTCCTCGTTTCTTTTGCTTGAGTTTTCACATAATGTTTCCTTTGCCATATTTGTAATTGTCGTTTGGATGACATTCCATTCTTCTTCAATGTTGTTTTGTTCTTCTCTTTCATTTAATATTAGGGGAGAATGGGTTACAGTGAACCACTTTTTATTTGGAGTGGTGTAACTCAGGAAAAAATATGCATATATGTCTGAAATTTGGATGATGAATGCTATAAGGTACGAACTTCTGCTCTCATAAGTGAAACATGATATAACCAGATGTTTGGTACTAGTTAAAATATATATTTTTCAAAGCGTCACTTGGTTCAGTGTGCCCCCGTCCTTGTGAACAGTGAACCAGGCTATGGGTAACAATGAACCAAATGGTGGTACAGAGAATCAGCAGGTTTCTTGGAGAAAAGAAAACGCATGATATAGCAAAACCTTTGATAACTCACTACTAGTACAAACTAGCGTATATCTATTTGAGTAAAATTTAATTTGAATGAATAGAATGACTGTTGTCGTTTAGTATTCCCACAAATAGTTGGTTTTGGTAATATCAATTTTACGTCTGACAGTGCAACCGGAGATACGTCTAAAACGTCTGGCAAACGGAATGTGTTTTCCATTTTATAGTTTCTTCTTAAAAAACTTACTTCTACTTCTTGTTCCTTGGCCTCTTGTAATACCTTAGCAACGTAATAGACTTTACCATTCTTCCCATTGAATTCAACCAACACATAGTCTCCTTCACTGGGTAATTTTTCTAATGGATTAAAAGAGTCGGAGGTCATAATATTCTCCTCATCACCGCTTTCATAATAGTCTTCTACCTCAGAATGAACACTGAACGTATCTTCTTCATCTGTTGTATCTTCTGGTTCTTGAAACACTTTTTTCTTTATGGGATGCGCTTTCTTCTTTCTCTGCTTTTCTGCTTCGCGCTCCTCAATTTCCATTTTTTTCTGGGGTGTCCGTGGCTATCATAGATTTACCCTTTCGTCTTGGTTTTCTGGTATTTTTTCTCGGCCCAGCCTTTGGCAGCCCTCGAAATTGATCCGGAGTTACAAATTCCAAAGATATTTCAGCCTCAGAGTCAGGAGTTCTACTTCTACTATGTTCGGCTCCGACTGCCAGTGGATTTTCTGAATTGAAGATTTGGCCATCTGGAGTATTCCCATTATTTTCAGTAATGGGCCTGTTAGTAACTTCACTTGGCAAGAAGTCTATGTCGGTAAAAAACATTTCTATCGTACGGGAAGATGCCGGTATTCTTAAAGGAACTACAAATATTTGACGGAGTCATTGCCTTCATATGTGCATCCCCAACGCAAGCAGCTACCTCATAAATTGTTAGAGGTTTTCCTGGATTCCGCATCATCCAACTGTCTACAGCTGCATTGTAAGCAGTTTTGAAAGGTTTATAAAGGCAAACGTCTAAGGGTTGCATCTTTCCGGTAGAATGAGGCGGAACTGTTAATATTGTCACACCATTTTCCTTTGCCAATTCAATGGCTTTTATGCAAATATGAGCTTCAAAGTTGTCCATTATCAGTAAGCTGGGGTTTTCTTTGCTAGTGTTTGAGAATTTAATAAAGTGTTCCATCGTGTCTACAAATAGTGTGCTATTCATCCACCCAGACTGTGTCGCCAATCCTAACGTTCCGGTGGGAGCCCCATTTGTCATGTGATGCTTAAAATGGACACGAGGAAAAATCATGACTGGTGGTAAAAAATTGCCGGAAGCATTGACGATACAACAGGTTGTTACTAATGTTCCCTTTTCACCACTAGTGACTTTGCTGACCTGTTTTTGTCCTTTCGCTGCGAGCACCTTTTGAGATTTTTGCACGGTCAGGGAACTAGTTTCGTCAAGATTATATATCCTAGTCCCATCAGCAAATTCGGGCTTACGTAACATAACTTCTTGTAACTTATCATAAAATATGTTCACATTATGTCGGTTAAATGACGTAGCTCGGGACAGGCTACATCCTTCAGGTGTCCTAAGGCTTAACCGGGATGTCGCTTTCTAAAATTGTATAGCCATTCCATGCCAGCAAGCTTTCGATCATTCCATTTTTCAGGAATTTTGACGTTGTTGACTATTGCCATTTCGTAGGCCAGCTGGCGACATTCCAGCAGTGTTAACCCGTAAAACATTTGGCTACATTTTACAATATAATTGGCCAGTGCTTCTTCCTGGATGGCTGTGAAAATTTTATTCACTTCATAATTAGGAGTTAGCCGTATTGGTTCATCTGTATTTTTAAATTTTTGCCAATATCTTCTAACAGTCGGATAAGGAATCCCTTTAAGTTTTTGCCACACTTCTTATGCTTTGATTTTCTCTCGATATGAGGTCTAAAGCACTTCGCATCTGCTCTTCACTGTGCATGCCAATGTTTGTTTTTCTAACTCGGTTGCGTGGCATTTTGAATCTGAAACAATAAATAAACGTAATCATAAACCAAATTATGATTAATGAAATTAAATGCATACATTCTAAGGGCCGGTTGTTCGAACGCTATTCAAAAATGATCATTACCAAATATTTAATTACTGTCACCAACTGTCAATGTCAATTTTTATTGGGTTGCTGAAAACATAATCGATTACCATTATGAAATTAGTTAATCAATTATGTTAATAATTGTTATGTTAATTGATTCACTAATCTCATAATTGTACTCAATTTATTATGTTTTCAGCAACCCAATTAAAGTTGACATTGACAGTTGGTGACAGTAATTAAATATTTGATAATAATCATTGTTGATTAGCGTTCGAACAACCGGCCTTGTATAACATTTGCACAGTAAACCATTATGGGTTACAGTGAACCAGGTTCAGTGTAACCCATTCGTCAATGGTTCGCTGTTACCCACCGCCACCTATTTAACTAAAAAATTTATTTAAACAAAAATAAACTACATTGATTTGAAAGACAAGATAAACAGTATGTACAAAGACCTATTAAGTAGCTTGGAACTATAATTGATCTGAATTTACCGCCAGGCTTGGAACAAAACAAATAAATACAACAATGTGAAAAAAAGCATTCGACTTACCGTTCAGCAGATATCGAAATAAACATCTACACACTATGTTAGCTTGATGCGAACTAAAGTAGTAAGGTGTCGCGTAAAACCAGCAGATATTTGAAGAATAGAGTTGGGCGATAAAGTGCATAGGCAAAGAGTGGGGGCTGCTGGTTCACTGTGTAACATGGTTCACTGTGACCCAAGTTCCCCTACTTTTATTATCTGTTGGTACTCATTCTTCTTTCTAGAATTTTTAAACATATATGTGTTCCATTTTCTTTGTTTGCTTTGCGCATTTCTCCTTTCTTACCATTGATATTCTTTTTTTTATCTTCGATAGAACCAAGAAATGTTCCGAATCGCAATTTACGCCTCTATAAGTTCTAACATCCGTTACGAAGGTTGCCCACCGCTTAGATATTAATATGTGATCAATTTGATTACATTTATTAGTAACAGGTATCATCCAGGTTCCTTTATAGATATTTTAATGGGGAAACACGTACTAAACAACTCTTAGTTTGTTTGCCATTGCCAACTGTGCCACTCCCTTACTGATGTTGCTGGTGGTTGCTGGTAATATCATGTAAACTATGCTTACCAACGGATTCTGTACCTATATTTTGCTTTTTTACAGCTTCGCGTTCATTATCAGTCATATCACACAGGACTATAACTACATCTCTCTTCTGTGTGTTTTCACATTCTACTTGTAGTTGATCATAGAAATGATCGGTTACTAGTTTATCTGCTGCTTCTGTTGGGGCATGGATATTAGTAATTATAATATTATGAAATTTTCCCCTTGATGTATTTTGCATATTGTTTCATTAACTGGAGTGAAACCCAATACTTACCTGCGGCATTTATGGTTTGTCATAAAACCCATTCCAAAGCACCGCTTTATTTACTCTCTTATCTTTATCTGATAATTTCCGACTGTTCTTCTATTTCGTTAAATAAGCATTTTCAGTAGCGCTTTCGTTTTTAATTGAAATACAGAAAACTATAAAACTGGGGGAAAATCTTAAATTATCATGTATAAAAGAGTATAGGCGCCCACAACAAGCATATAACTAATCAAGAATATTTTTATAAACACAGTGATTTCTGATTTCAATATTTTCTAGATCATTTCATAAAAAATAAACTTTATTTATTAATTATTATTCTTATCTTATCAGCGAAATAAATTAATCAAGTTGGTATTTAATTTAAAATAATTTAGGCCTTTTATCAACTACATAAAAATAATTAGTATAATAAATTACTAAAAAAATAATTATAATAAAATATTCTCGGATTCAAAATGATATAAAATTATTTTATGCGCCATCTAACAACAATATGCACAACCAACCACTAAATATTCGGAGATTCCTTCTTATTTAAACGAGAAATAATTTTTTATAACACAAAGTTAGAAAAGATCTAAACAAGTGCCTAAAAAGAAAAAAATGCCCCAATTATGATTTGTAGGAATCTACATTTTTGAATTTTAATCATTTAATCAAGTAATCATTTACTTTTTAAAACTAATTTATTTTTAATTATATGAAATTTAAATCAGACACATAAGTACATTATTTTATCATGTATTTTACAAGAAAAAATTATACCATAAAAAATATCTTTCAAAACAGAATATAAAACCACATTTTAAATTAATATGCACTCCACAGCGGCCTCTAGTTCAAAAAGAATTAAGTATACTTTGACGTTTGCTGTAGCCAACATTGCCATAAACTTCACATTTCCTGGTTCTGCAAATTTATGTTATCAAATACTTTATCGCGTTCATGACGTTTTCGACACGGTTCCACTCCTCACTTTTCAACTGGCATCGCTGCAAAAGTTTGCCAACTGAGTCATAAGATCAGTTGAATTTGTGCGTTGAGTGAGTTTCAACAAAGTTTTTCAGTGCCTTTTCCCGGTATAAATTTTCAACAATGGCCGACGAAGTCGCTGAAAATGGTCACGCAGAAAATGGAGATGTGCCAGAAATCGAGCTTATCATTAGGGTGAGTAGTTTTAATTTTGAAAAACTCGAATTTTGCTGGGTGTGACTGGGAGATTTGTTCACAGCCACCTACATAACATTCTGTACAACATAAAAGAAAGTGTTCTCAAACTTTATTTTAAAGATTAGATAATGTATGGGATTTTTTATGTTATGAAATACGACGGTACCGATGTTTTTTTATCAAAAAAACCTGTTTTGTGGGTGCATTTTGTTTGACCTTGGAGAGTGTTTGCATTTAGCAAATATTGTTTTTCGAATATATTATAATTTAATGAAAAATCCTTGTTGACGGTTGTTAAAGATTATGGGTGTAATCGCTATAGTTATTGAGCTGTGACTGACAGCTCCGTTTACAATGAATTAGCTACAATTTAGGAGAGGCATATGTAAAGAAGTGACAGTTACCCTAATCTAAATAAATCTAGCAAAGACAGGCTTTTTCAAAGTGCAAGATGAAAAACCAATATTTCAATAATATACGAGATGTTAAAATTCTTATTTTGATAGATTGTGTAAATGTGATCCATCCATTGTGTTTTTTCCCCTTTTAAAGATTAAAATAATTGACTGTAGGCAATCAGTTATTTTCTTTTACTGTTTGGAAGTATTTTATGAATACCTACATCTTTTGCATATCATTTTCTACTTACATATTGTATTTTCCATTCAAAATAAATGAATACCTCTTTATTTTTCTCTAGTATAGCACAAGAACAACTAAATTATTTAATACTATGTACATTTTTAAATGTACAACAATGAAATTGAATTCTTGAGTAGCTGTAATTTTAAAAGGTTTTTGATGGTATTTTTAATAGATATTTTAGCTAGGCTAGACAATTGTCACCTAAAGGTGTCTTCACACCTGTTGCTGTGATTTAATATACAGTCATAGATCATACAATCTTTATATTACAAGATCTCACTGCAGGATCACAACATTTTTACATGCATTTAAAATTATAATACATTTTACATAGAATACACAATACAACCCTTAATCTTGTCTGTTATAGAAGTAATGGATTTTGACAAGAGCTATGAGTCATGCCGATTTAGTACACAAGTTTACCTGTAATTTACAAGGTAATAGCTCTTGTCAAAATCCATTAGGTACCTATACAATGTTTTCTTGTTTAACATACAATTTGTATTTATCATTAAGTACCTTCATTTTGAGCAGTAAAATAACATGAAAGATATAAATATTTCAAGTAATATTTTGGTTAAAATAGGAATTGGTCTAGTGGATGATGTCATTAATTTTATCTCTAGTTCAGAATGATAAGTAATGGTGAGACAGGTTCTCTAAATAAATATTACCAGTAACAATCAATATGAATCTTACACAGATTTAATGAAATCAGATTCAGTGGTGTACTCATCAGTATCTTTTATTCTGATATGGCGATAAATATATGTATAGATTGTTAATCAAAAGGTTATAGCCAATAAAAGTTAATAAAAACCAACAAACACACAATAATAGATGAAATAAAACATATATTTAAAAGACTAGGTTAGTAAAAGGAGAAGAAAGGTAGAAAAAAGACAAAATAACTGAATTGCTGAAATCTGATGAAGCATATGAGAATTGATATGAAGAATATATGATAATGCCTAAAAAAGAAGAGAAATCAGAATGCTGAATCAAGAATAGGAATCCCTTATTCTGGAAGAACAATTAAAATATACTATTGAAAGAAAACCAGGAGATTCAACATGAACTAAAGGATGTTCAAAAGAATATAGAATGGCCAGATAAGAAGAAAAGACAGGATAATGTTGTAATGACTAGTTTAATTGCATATCATCTACATGTGTAGATATAAAACCATGTTTAGATGAGATCTGTCTAATTCTTTAATCATTAATTTACTTGTAGAAGAACTCTGGTGACTTCCCTTCACTAGCATCTACTTTCATCGCACCTCGGCAACAACACTGTCATAAGTCAAAAATTGCCAATTTGAGTAAATTGGGTATGCATATTATCCTTACTATTTAATGTTGGATTATTTCTACAAATTGAATGAAAGTGTTATGTTTACTTCAATAAGATTAATTTAGGGTGTTTTATCAATTAGTATTCTATATTGTAGAAATTTGAAACCAACATATTAACAAATGTGTCTATGTTGCTGAAAACTCAAAGGTGTTTTCCTTCCAAAACCATAAAATTATGATAGGATATTTCTTCTGTTTTTCAATCTAGGAGTGCATGTTGTCCCCTTTATTTTGCATATGACCAACAACCAAAAACTTTAAAGTGATCAAAGGAATATAGGGTTTGCTTACTATTTAAAGAAGTAATGAGGTTATAAATTTGCTTTTGTTCTCACCATAGTAATTGTCGCAGTAAAATACAACAGGAATGCCTTTAGAGCATTCAGTTTTAAGAAATGAGTATAAACATGACCCTATCTCATTAGATCCACGGTTACCTTTTCCTTCGTGCCAAATGTAGCAGAAACCATTCAATAATTCTAAGTAATATAGTAAAGTTATACATACTTAACTTTGATTTACAGTTATAGGAATTGATGTCACCCCAAGGTATGTGGAAAACTGCCTGTAAATCAAAACAGACTGTAATACACTTGCTTTGCTTATCTTTATCTTTTTTAATATGTGACAGATCTTTTGCCTTTAAATGATGATCACAATTTTTCTCTAAATTGACCTTACTGTTTTCATTTTTATACTCTGCACACATACCCACTGATCTTTCTTAAAAATTCCTAAATCATTCCTAAAAATTCTTGAGAGCATGGTGACATTCCCATAACCACAAAAAACACATTTTTAATAAACAGAAAACACACCACAATGTGGCTTTCAGATAATGTGACAATGTTGTTGTCAAGACCTATCGCTATTAGTAAATAATAGTAGTATAGCACACTTATTTGAAAAAAATATATATCTAAAGATTACTGCAATACTGTCATAAGTGAGTTGTTACACTATTGTTGAATAGAGTTCTACAAAAGTAGTTATAGCTATAATAGACATAAGTTGCCATCTAGTGCTTATATGACAAAATATCTTTTCGACAGGGATGCTGACGAACGTTTAACAAAATACCCATTTAATACAACAAAAATAAAAAATACTGAATTTCGACTTGTGACAGTGATGTTGCTGATGTGCGATATATGCTGTATGCAAGAATATTTCTAAAATCTTGTATATCTTAAACCATACAAATTTTTGTATGGCAATATAAATAACATTTTCAGTCTCTTGAGTATAATCTAACCATAACATATTTATCTATATACCTTTCACAAGGCTAACTTTATATCAGTCAGTTTAGTTTTACATTTGGTAATTAAATTTTTTGTTTATCATTGTTTTGGTGATAACTTGTTTAAATATAAAATTAATTTTTTATTCCTGGTGTTTTATCAATTGAAAGTTGTTAATAAACATCATTTCTTATAATTCAACAAACAATATTGGTTTTGTGTACAATTTTTGAGCATCATACACCATTTTTATGATCGTTTACAATATTTTTGTAATTAACTTAAAAAATAGGACTAATAAGTAAATGAATATCTCAGAAAATTGTATTTTTAGTTCTACAAAGACTAATATTTTTAAAGATGTTTATTTCTATCAGATTCTATATTTCTGATTTAATTTCTCTTTATTTGACTTGCTTATGTATGTTATATTGTACAACTGTCCCTTCATAAATATTGTTCCAATTATTTAAAAGCTTTTATTTTGTATTTATGTACTGACAACTGTCTGCTGTTACTGAAATATGTCCCATGATGTATTTTAGGCTTTTTTTTTTGTAATTTTGCTTCATAAATTAATTTTATGACACTAAATTCGAACAAAAATTATGTGTCCTGTCTCAAAAATATAGGTACTTTTTGAATCTAGGGAAAAGCAATCCTACACCACTAAATATATTTAACTTGTGCAGCTGTTACATTTTAAAAACAAAACTCATCAAATTTGGCATTTTATCAAGTTTTTTTGTGTTTGAAGAATCTATGCAGTTCTAAATTGGGTAGGTGTCACATCAAGACAACACTTACAATATAAGTTTTGTTTCATTTTATTACTTTTTAAAGACACAGCTAAGCAAAACTGTTTGGCTTATTTTATATGTTTAAATTGTTTGTAAGAGTCACAAGTATACATCATAGAAGAAAGTGGAAGTTAAAAGAAATATGACATTAAGTTTTTAACAATTATATATCATTCATCATCAAGTGAGATGTCTGTTAGAGAAATGTTTGTGTTGTTTTCTCTTTTTTATATAATTTTAATTTTATGTATGATTTATGAAGGTTATGTACATTTTATTTTGCTAGATATTTTTCGATTCATTTGCACAAAAGATCGTCCATTTTTCCTATCTTGCTGAGATTCATCATGGTTTTTGTGTTACTTGTATAATCAAATGACTGAGACAAATTATTTGAACAAATTAAAAACTATGGGATATGAAGTATAGTGTTAAATTCATTCCTCAAGCACCTTTATTATTATGCCTAATTCGCCTGTGTCTCAATGTTTATGAAAATCGATAAAGAGATAACAACAGATAACTAAAAAGATGCCTCTTATATTTAACTGTTTTCTCTATTACAGTTTTCATGCTTTGTAGATGGTCTTTAGTTAATTGATCACATTTGGGGGCACTTGAAATTGAAAGACATTCAACATCTTAAGTTTCCTGACAGGAACAGCAATAAAAGAGCCACTGTTTACTAAGAATCTATGGGGAAAGCAAGAAGCAAAGAGGGATATAATAAATCATTCTGCCATTCCATTAGTTTGGTGTACTTAATCAGCTAGTCTAAAGTTGGGATTTTTTCCAGCCACAGTTATTCTACCTCTTTGGACTTTCTCATGACTAACTTATTATATACATTAAAAAGGAGAGGTGATAGGATGCACCCTTGTTTCACTCCTCTTTCTGTTTTAAAAATACTGTAATCTAACCTTACAGTGATTTCAATAGACTAATAC